TGTACATTGTATAAATATATATTTTGACGAGGTGACTATGACCTTTTTACGACGTATTTAACCGGAGTTGGGAGAAGTACTCAGATCGTACTTGAGTTAAAGTAGAAGTACTCAGATCTTGTACTTGAATAAAATTAGAAGTACCAGAGTGTAAGAATACTCTGTTACAAATATTTGTAGGACATACTATACCATGACATTATATACTCTATCTAAATTATGTAAAGTCTCTCAATGTTTAGTAAACTCTAACTGAAAACCACATCAGGTGTGTGTTAATAACGCGTGTGTGATCCAGACCTGGTCCAGGATGGGGGCGTCGGTCGGCAGCACGATCTGGTTCTGGATCAGTCCGACCCGGGTCCTCCTGGCCGGCCTCAGCTGCTCCGGAGACGCTTCAAACCCAAAGCCCTGCAGCTCAAAGTCCCGCTCCGAGGCGGCGCTGACAGCAGCTGCCGGCAGATCCAACTTCCTGTCAGAGAGGAGAGTTTTGGGAATGTGGACACAATGGACACACAGTAATAACATGTATTTCAGGTGGGCCTCAGGTCTTTACATTGATATTTAGGGGGGTTTAATGAGGTAATTATCCATCTAATCTCATGCTGCAGCTTTTTCTCCTGGGAATGACTCTATTACTGCACTATAATGACAATTTAATAATTATTGCATGTATATATTTTCTGTGATTATTAAACTGTCCCTTTTAGCTTTTCTTAGTAAATAATGGTGTGTCTGTTGTTTGTTGTTGTTGTGTTGTTTTTGCTTCCTTATATGAGTGAGTACTGTATGTGAAAATAATACAAACTATAAAATAACTTTTTATATAATTGTCATAAAATATTATGACATCTTTAATGATTTTTTAAATATATTTTATTTTTACAACATTTTATACTATGACGTTCTTTTATTATTTCTTTATGAGATATTAAATTACTTTTGTATTTTTTACATATAACATGACTTTTATGACTTTTTATGGAAGTTATACTCTGACTTTTTAATGAACTTTAATATAAAAACCATAATATTGCCTTTTTTATAATTTTTTACCACATATTACCATTACGTTTTTTATAAAATACTAAAATGTGTCATTTTTTAAATGTATTTATAACATATTCTGGACCAGGGTGCTTTCCAGCATTATTTGTTACCAAAAAAGCCTCAAACACAACATTATTTTAACACACATGTGAGGTTATTATTTGCACAGGTTAAAGGTTGTTCAGCTCTGACAGAAGTTGAACTAACCAAAGTCCACTGACTGAGCAGAATAATAATTTACCAAGAAGGAAAACATAGAACAGAAAAAGCATGGTAAGAAAAAGAAAAAGAAAGCTCCATATTCCTGGACCCCAACTCACTTCGTCTCCTTCCCGTATAAAATGCGTTTCACCTCGGACAGCTCGGCCTCGGGCAGGTGGGTCTCCAGACATTTCTCCAGGGACTCAAACTCACAGGAGGACATTTCGGAGGCTGTAAAGGGGGCAGTTTCTTCGGGTTTAGTGGAAGTTTCTGCGGGTTAAATGGAAGTTTCTTCGGGTTTAGTGGAAGTTTCTGCGGGTTAGCAGCTCGTGCAGCTCGGTGCTGTTTCTGCTCCTCTCGTTATATAACAGTGTGTTTTCTCGCAGTCTGACGCAGGATTTGGTTTAGCAGAAGCTACGGTGTGTCCAGAGGCTGTCAGTGGATGTTTGTCAGTAATTAACCCTAGACCCCCCCCCTCTGGGGAGGGCGCATGAAGCCAATGCGGAAGGGACTTTAAAACAGCGTGGCTTTCTGAAATAAATACAACAATCTAAGAGGAACAGATGCATACAGAAGACAGGACGACTAAACATCAAAAACTGACATTAAAGTATACAATAAATTAAAACACAATAAGGTAACTTCACTAACTTCATGTCAATAACCTGCTTAAAAAGCTGAGGGGTTAGACTAGGTTTCTTTTTCAGGAACAAGTTCTGTTTCTCACTTGAGGCCAGGAAAAGGCTAGTCACTGTGACCTTTTTACCTGTGGTGATTTGATGAATGCACCTGCCTATTGCCTGAACAAGTTAGATGCCGCCTATCACAGCGCACTGAGATTTGTCACTAATTGTAAAGCACTTACTCATCACTGTACCCTGTATGCCAAGGCAGGTTTGCCTTCACTTACTGTACGGAGGCTCAGTCACTGGTACATGTTCATCTATAAAGCCATGTTGGGTAAACTACCAACTTATATATGCTCTTTGATCTCACAGAGTGGCAAGTAGCTATTGCCTAAGATCCCAGGATGTGTTTTTATTACATGTGCCAAGTGCTAGGACTGTTTTAGGTACTAAAGCTTTTATGTGTGCAATTTTTTTTTAAACTTAGCATTTTGGTTCCCCTGCATAATTTTAAAGCTCGGATAGATTACATGATATTAGATATGTCATTGTGAATGCTAATGTATACCCCTGTAATTATGTTGTATTGATGTCCTTTTTGTTTTCTGTTGTTTTTATGTGTAACCAACGTGCTGCAAGTCTCCCTTGAAAAAGAGATCGTTGATCTCAATGGGATTTTCACCTGGTTAAATAAAGGCTACAAACAAACAAACAAAATACAGTTGTGTTCTTCAAATATGCTAAACCGTTTTATTGCATTTTTCAATTTTTTTAAATAAACTTTATTCATCAGTTTTTGCATGAATATTTTGTACAATTGCATGATGTAAAAAGTAAACACAT